GTCCAGGTATAGTTCTATGATCCAGGTGTAGTTTATATGGTCCAGGTGTGATTCCTATGGTTCATATGTGGTTCATATGGTTCAGGTACAGTTCATATGGTCTAAGTGCAGTTTCTGTGGATCAGGTGCAGTTTACCTGTATATATATGGTCCAGGTGAAGTTCCTATGGTTCAGATGCAGTTCCTATGGGTCAGATGCAGTTCCTATGGGTCAGGTGCGGTTTCTATGGTTCAGGTGCAATTTCTATAGTCCAGGTGTGGTTTCTGTGGTTCGGGTGTAGTTTCTATGGTCTAGGTTTGGTTTATGTGATCCACATGCAGTTTCTATGGTCCAGGTGTGGTTCCTATGATTCAGGTGTAGTTTCTATAGTCCAGGTGTGTTTTTTGTAGTCCAGATGTGGTTTAGGTGGTCCAGGTATAGTTCTATAGTCCAGGTGTAATTTATATGTTCCAAGTATGATTCCTATGGTTCATATGTGGTTCATATGGTTCAGGTACAGTTCATATGGTCTAAGTGCAGTTTCTGTGGTCCAGGTGCAGTTTACCGATATATATGGTCCAGGTGAAGTTCCTATGGTTCAGATGCAGTTCTTATGGGTCAGGTGCGGTTTCTATGGTTCAGGTGTGGTTTCTGTGGTTCGGGTGTAGTTTCTACATGAAGAAAAACATTGATAAACAAAGGACAAACAAACAATAATAAACAAACAATGATAAACAATAATGATAAAGAATAATGATGATAAACAATGATTAAAAAAACAATGATAAACAAACAATGATAAACGATAATGATAAACAATGATTAAAAAACAATGATAAACAAACAATGATAAACAATAATGATAAACAATGATTAAAAAACCCAATGATAAACAAACAATGATTATGATAAACAATGATAAACAAACAATGATTATGATTAACAATGATAAACAAACAATGATAAACTCATGTTATTGATAGAAATATTTACAAATACAAAGATCAGAGTTTGTAAAAACGTCATCAGAGAGAGGAAATGTGGTCAGTTTGTCCTCCAGCAGTCTAAGCTTATAGCAGCATAAGGGACAGCTCAAGAAACCCAAGCCAATCCTAACTATAGGATTTATCAAAAAGGAAAGTCTTCAAACTGGACAATGTGTCAGTCTCATGGACAGAAACTGGAAGTTGGTTCCACATGAGAGGAGCCTGAGAACTGAAAGATCTTCCTCCCATTCTGCTCTTGGAAACTCTAGGAACCACAAGTAAACCTGCAGTCAGAGAGTGAAGTGCTCTGTTAGGAAAATATGGAACAATAAGATCTGTAATATAAGATGGAGCTAGGTTGTTGAGGGTTTTGTAGGTTAGAAGTAAGATGGTAAACTGTTCTGGATTGAAGAAACACTGCGGTACTGTGGCAGTGCAGTGGGAGTGTTGGTGTATTACAGCACGAGTTGTTGTTGACTTACAGAAACTAAAGTTTTGTTGGTTTATCGCACTGCAAAATGTTTGGACATGACCAATAAATCTGGAGATCACGTTCAAGTATCAGACGTAAAGCGCCACGCTCTAAGCGTGCCGTAGAAGCACAACAAAATATGCAAACGTTGAATGAGGGTGTTTTATGATTTTAAAACAAATTAAATAAAATAAACTCTTTTTTTTTTACTGCCATCAGTGAGGCCGCACCCAACTGAAGTCAACTCCGTTCAGCGTACAAGAGAGGAAAATGAAAAACACCAACATTTTGATGAAATAGAAGAAGAGGAGGATCCTTACAACCTGTACCAGGAGGACATCTACGACACCGTGGACACAAACACCGCGTACAACCCGGCAGTCCTCAACCGTCCACCAGCACCAATCCCCAGGTCCGAGTCCGAGTCTGAGCCTGAAAAACCCACCGCCTACATTTCTCGAGGTATTTTTGTCTCCTTTTATCTTTCAGCTGTTTAAGAGGCTGAAGTTCTAACTTCACATCACTCACAGTATTTTCAGATAAAAGTTCATCCCAGAGTAAAACAACGGAGTCCGGATACTTTACAGGTAAAGCATCGTTTCATTATCTAAAGCAGTGGTTCCCAACCATAGTCCTTGAGGAACACCATCCTGCAAGTTGTAGTTGTTTTCCTGCTTTGACACACCTGAATGAATGGGTGATTGACAGGTGGTGCTCCTCGAGAACCACTGATCTAAAGCTTTGATTTGGGAGGAGCTCTGGGTCAGGGGGAGTCTGAGCCTCAGGGGGAGGAGTTCAGGGGGAGTCTGAGCCTCAGGGGGAGGAGTTCAGGGGGAGGAGTTCAAGGGGAGTCTGAGCCTCAGGGGGAGGAGTTCAGGTTTCTGGGCGTCTTGTTCCTGAGCGAAGGTAGGATGGAATGGGAGATGGATCCACAGAGTGGGGTCTCCTTAGTAATGAGGGTGTTGCTTTGGTTGGTCGTAGTGAAGGAGTTGAATTGAAATATTTACTGGTCTATGTTCCAACCCTCACCTGTGGTCATGAGGTTTGGATCAGGACCCAAAGAACCAGATACTGGATCCAAGCAGCTGAAATGAGCTTACTTCGGGGGTGGGGGGCTCGGTCTTGGAGACAAGGTGAGGAGCTCCGTCACCTGGGGGGGGGAGCTCGGAGTAGAGCTGCTGCTCCTCTGCATCTAAAGGAGTCAGCTGAGGAGGTTCATCTGATCAGGACTCCTCCCTTTGGAGGTTTTCCTGGCATGTCCCACTGGGAGGAGACCCTCTGGTCTGGGAACACCTCGGGGGTTCCCCAGGAGGAACTGGAGAGTCTCAGGGGAGACGGAGGTCTGGGTGTCTCTCCAGGACCTGCTGCTCTGAGACCTGACTGTGGATAAGTGGTAGAAGATGGTGAAGCTCCAACTTCCTGTTTGAGCTCCTGAACAACAGTCAGCTGCTCTTATTGATTATTATTGTTTACAATAGTTTATTTAATTGTTTTTTGTTGTTTTTTTAGTCAAGGTAAAAACAATATTTTATTGGCCGAGTTCAGACTCGCTCATTTTATGTTAGTTACCAAAACTGCACCAGCTGTGGATTCTCAGCTCCCAGTTTGTTTCTGGATGGACTTCAAGGTTGTTTTATTAGTTTTTAACGTCTTCGTGGTCCGACCTCTCCAGCTGTACCTTCCTTCTCGCTCTCAGGCTGCATCACTTCCTGTCGGTCGCTCCAGGGAGGAGGCGGAGGATTGAGCTGCCTCACCAGACGAGCCGACTCACTTCCTGTTAATAAATCTTCTCTTAAAACACTTTTTCTTTTAACCCGGCTTGTTGGCTTTTAATGTTTTTATTATTTTTACTGTTTCAATAGATTGTATTGTTTTTACTGTAACTTTCTGTTTTGTGTTATCGGTGTTCGGCACTTTGGTCAATAAAGTTGTCTTGTTTTGTATTCCTGCATTACCCGTGTCCTCGTGCAGTCCGACCTGTGGGGGAGGCCTCCACATCCGCCCACGACCCGTACGCCGGGATGAAAACCCCGGGGCAGCGGCAGCTCGTCTCCCTGCAGGAGAGGGTCAAAGTGGGCGACATCTCCGTGGACGAGGCCGTCCAGGAGTTCAAAGCCTGGCAGGTCGACCACGAGCGGAGAGCGAGCTCCGTCCGCTTCCAGCAGGTAGAACCACGACCCAAACCCGGGTTTCTGAGAACCAGAACCAGACAGACTGCTTTTCTGCTAAAACTCTGACTGAGGCTGAGAGCCGAACGTCTGCTGAAGGCTGCTGAAAAAGCTGAAACTGAGCTGGTAAAACTGAAAGCAGCCGGACACAAGCTAAACACTGAAAAGGACTAGCTGACAGCTAAAAGAAGCAAAAGTCTGTCTACAGAAAACAACATACTAGCTAAAAGCTAAATGTGGCAAAGAGCTGGTTAAATTAGCAAAAACTAGCTAAAAGGTAAAAGTAGATAAAGGCTAGCTATGAACTAAAAGAGCAAAACCTTAACTAAAAGCTAAAAGGTGCAAAAGGCACGCTGGCTACTAGTAGCAAAAGGCTACTTTGAACTTGAAAGTAGCAAAAGGCTAGCTAAACATGGTAAAGTATCGGTTGACTAGCTAAGAGCTAAATTTAGCAAAAAGGTAAAAACAGAAGTTGCACAAGGCTAGCTAGGAGCTAAGAGTAGCAAAAAGTTAGTTAAGTCTTTAAAGTGACAAAAGTCTAGCTGAAAATTGTAGCACAGTGGCTAAATGATAAAAGTAGCATCAGACATCAAAGAGCGAGCAGCTGAAGCAGATTTCAGGAGGACAAAGAATTAACGAGATCCCCGAGTGTTCGTATCGGGAAACATTTGTAAACAAAGTTAAATAATTTTAAAAATGGTGCGCACAGCTAACCAAACAGTTAGCTTCGCTAATCCGCTAACTAATAAGTTGGCTTCGCTAACACTAAACAGGTAAAACGCTAACTGCTAACTTTCATCGTACTCTGCGGTCGCTGACACGGTGTCTGACACGGTGTCTGACACGGTGTCTGACACGGTGTCTGAAAGGTGACAACGCGATAAGTCTAACACTTCTTTTTTATTTTTTTAGGATAATCTGGAGAAATTACGGAAAAGCATCACCAGGCGTCACAAAGAGCGGGAAAAGGCTGGAAAAGAAACTGGTCTGATTATTTTTCTTAATTAGTTTAAATTTAAATCTTTTCTCTCCGTCGTGCCCGGAGCGGTACAAACTGCTCCAAACTACTTCCTGTTCGTGCGCTCATGTTCTGGTCCGAACCCTCAGAGTATGAAATCAGCGCCCCGCTGCAGAGGAACCTGTTCTGGGGCTCCGGCGGGATGGTGGAGTGCGACGTGTACGACTCGGCGCCCAGGATGATCGGAACACCAGGTCCAGGAGCTCCGCCCATCCTGAGGGGGGGCTGGAAGACCAGCAGCACCTCCAGCACCTCCAGTGAGTCCCGAGGAGGGGGAGGAGTTACTCGTTGCACTTTTTGTTTTCTGAGCTCAGCTGTGGCGGCCATCTTGAGTCGCGTTAACTCCAAATGTTCATCCGTCGTAGAGCCGATGGTTAATTAAAACTCCTCCACCGGTTCATCAGATATTTTACTGACAGACAGAGGAAAACTTGATCACCTACATAAACATAAAGTTATTTCCTCATCGCTCGCCTCGAGTCGAGATCAGAACCAAATCTGAATTCTTCAGATAAAAACTGACTTCCTGTCACTGAAACAGGAAGTCAACATCTGAGAAAGTAAAAGTTCCACTCCTCATGAAAACATGGCTCGCAAAAATAAGACAAGTCACGTTTAATTAAAAAAAAAACTGATTTTACTGAAAATCAGCAGCTGAACACAAGCTAAAAGCAACTGAAAACCAGCTAAAAACAGCTGAACACAAGCTAAAAACAGCTGAACACAAGCTAAAAGCAGCTGAAAACCAGCTAAAAACAACTGAACACAAGCTAAAAACAACTGAACACAAGCTAAAATCAGCAGAACACAAGCTAAAGGCAGCTGAACAAAAGCTAAAAGCAGCTGAACACAAGTTAAATGCAACAGTCCAACAGTAACTAAAATTAGCAAAACAAATGCTAAACCTAGTAAAACAATAGCTAAAAGTAGAAAATGGTAGCTAAAGGCTAAAAGTGGCAGACCAGTAGCTAAAATTACCAAAACAAATGCTAAAAATAACAGTAGCTAACCAGATGCTCTGAAGAACAGAAGGGTTGGAAAAGTTTGCAAAGCAATAGCTAAAGGTATGAAACAGTAGCTAAAATGAGCAAAACAAACAGTCTAACATAAAGTAGTAAAAACAGATGCTTAAGCTAAAACTAGGAAAACTGTGCCTGAATGGCAACAGGAGCAGAATGCTAGCTAAAGTAAAAAAAAAAGTTAGAAGCTAACAATAGCTGAAAGCTATCTAGACTTTCTCTACGAAAGAGGTGTCTGAATTAATTTTCTTGAAACTTGTAAAAAAATTAACAATAATTTTTTAAAACGCGTCCCACAGATTTCTACAGTTCAAACCTTCATGTTGTCCCTGCAGCCATGTTGGACAACGGCAGCTCGTAGATTGCTCAGAGTTGAGCAATCTACACCACAAAGTCTCAGATCGTGTGGTTTCGTTCATTTAAACGTTGTTTGTTTGTTTGTTTGTTTGTTTGTTTCCACCAGGCACTGAAAGCAACAGGCTGAGCACTCACAGCACCTACAGCTGCAGCAGCGGCACAGAGCCCGAGTTCGAGGCGAGTCTACCTCGTTTTTGATTTCTTAAATTCCTTCAAGGAATGTTGCCCGCTAGCTTTGACGCCAGAGTTTTACACCAAATTCATGTTAAAATGTTGTTACTGTTTTGGTTCAATCTAAAAAACAAACAATAAAATTACACCTTTTAATCCACTAAACGAGACCCTCACAACAATGACACAAGCCTGAAGGAGCGCACGTCGCCACAGTTGTTGTATCTGTTGGTGCTCAAAGTAAAAGCTGAGGGCGACTTTCAGCTACTACCACAGCAATTTTAGCTAATGTCTGTTAAACTGACTGAGTTAGAGCTAAGGTCAATGAGCTGTGGCGGCCATCTTGAATCGGTTTGACCCCAAACCTTTTTCAGTTGTGGACGTTCATCCAAGGACTGTTACCTGAAAGGTTCATGATAATCCTCCCACTGGTTCATGGGATATTTTGCTAACAGACAGACAAACCAGCACACACTTTCAGGGTTTTGAGTTTGTTTTTATTGTGAAGCCTTCAACGTAATGAAATATTTAATTTGCTTGTTTTTAAAGGACGCAGCGGAGACCCTCCCTCCTCCCCCACGACCCCCTCGGCCGTCCGACGCCGCTCCTCTGATTCCTCCTCCCAGGATTCCTCCTCGGATCCCTGAAAGGTCGGTCCGACTCGTTCAGAGTAAAGTCAGAAAGCAGCAGAGAGACGATCAGACGCGAGTGAGACGGCGGGGGTGGGCGGGTGAGGAGGAAGCTCTCACCCGTGGGTGACAGCTGTGAGCTGAAGAGGAAGAGCGAGAGAGGCGGGGGCGCTTACGTTCTGAAAACTTAAAAATATCCTCGACGTGGTTCTGAGAAAAGCTCCGAGCTTTGATCAGAGGCTGCTTCTATAAAATGTTACTTCAATTTCCTGTCAGGTCTTTAAAAAATAAAATGTTTCTGCTAAAGCTGCGGTTCACGGGCTGTGGCTCCGGGGCCACACGGGCGGCTCCTTATAACTTAGATAAAAATATGAATATGAGTTACTTTAAGATTTAAATTGACACGAGGCCTTAAATCAACCATTTAAAAACCTTTAAGCCCCTCCAAAGAACAAACGGGCGTTTGGTGCAATACAAGGAAACGTATCCTAAAAGTTAAAACGAGAATAAAACCATGAAATCAGCGTCTAAACGGTACAAATGACAACGACTACAAATAAAAAGCAGCTAAGCAGGATGCGTCTATAATTCTGGCCCCGAAAGCCCGGTCCGCTCTCATCTACACCTGGTTTCAGGTCCAGGCAGGAGCAGCACGAGGGAGAATGGGCAGGTAGGTAAGTGTGTAGCAGCTCAGACGTGTAAGCAAGGACAAGACCTTTCTAAGATTTAAAACAAGTAAAATCATTTTAACATGGATTGGCGACTAAATAGAGAAATTTAAAAGCGGGTGTGAAGTGGTTACATTCATTTTTAAAAGACGTGTCGCTGCTTTTTGCATCATCTGTAAACGGGCGACGGCAGACGCTCCGACCCAACATACCGAGGGTTACAGAAGTCTGGCGGAAATGTAACAAAAGTGTGTGTCACTGTTTCAAACAGCTGCTGGTGAAGAACGGGCCTTCTCTTGGCCGCCTCAAATGAGAGAAACGAGATTGAACAACTGCCTTTATCGCCTGTCAAATTTAAGAACGGCGTAAAGTTTGACCCCTGGATTTGTGACGGTTGATGCACTGAGCACCAAGATGTAAAGAGGTAGAAGCTGACGGAGCCACCAAGAACATCACTTCAGTTTTCTTCTCATTAAAATCTAGAAAATTCAAAGACACCCAAACCCGAATCTCATCAGGGAAGTCACGTAAAGGTCTGAGAGTCAGGGCGTGCTTTCTTTTAAGAGGCAGATAAATCTGACTGTCATCTGCATAGTACCGTAGTAAAAAAAAGGAATACTGTTTCCTGAAAATGGAGGCATGTGGAAGCAAACGGAGAGAAAATAAGTAAGGACCCAAAACTGAGCCCTGAGGAACGCCACACAAAAGGAAGGAAACATTTTATCAATTTACCTGTTTATTATTTATGTGCATAATATTTCTGCAACATGACACAAACAGTTTGAGTTGGTCTGCCTTAGGGAACAAAGTACTTTCAGCTCACGTCGTATCAGGTATAAGTATACAATGTATACATAATGTACACAGATTCCCATCGTTTCAGGCGCAGAACAAACTGATGTTTTCACTTGAACGTGTTTAAAGTGCAGCGATCACGTTCGGCAACGTCTGTTTCTTACTTCACGACTGTCGTCTCCAAATCTACCAGAAAACAAAGAGTTAAAGAGTTAAATCCCAAAAACAAATAAATATTCTTTGATGTGAAGATTTTAGACTAATGTAGTTTTAAAACGACGATTACTTTATATTAAAATATATTTACAGCGGTGTTTAGAACGGTGACAGTTTTTTGTCATCAAGACCTCGAGTGTGAGTTTTATTTTTATTCTAACGCCGTCGAGAAAAGAACGATGCTTGAACGTGGATGTTGCTGCCAAACGTCTCAGGGCCTCTCAGCCTTAATTAAACACTCCTTCAAATGGATTTCAAAACTATTAGTACATTTAGCACAGTTACACAAATTGTCCTTTAAAGAGTTTCAAACTAAAAAAAATAATGTTACGTTTGAATTTATTACATCTGGCTGCAGCTTTAATTATCTCTAAACATCAGACTTATTTTAAACGTTAAAAATTAACTTAAATTTTCACTGATATAAGAATTCAAACAGATGCAAATAATTTAAACAGTCTGATTTTTTTTTTTTTTGGTATTTAAAAATTATTTCCCCTAATTTGTCTTAACGTTTAAAAAATGACAGTTTGCCAAAACAACACGAGCTGTTCATTGGATCAAAGTGCAGACGTGAGAAGTTAACGGTGTTTTAAGAGTCGGGGAGAGTTTCGTGTCGCTCCATAGCAGATAAGATCTAAACTTCTGGTTTTCTGTAAAATGTCTCTCACAAAGTTTCTTTGTTCCGTTTAAAAAAGAAAAGCAGAAAAAGGAATAAATATTAATCACATCAGCTGAATTCCCCTCAGTTCATCAGAGAAACTTGACGCCTACTTCTTATTTTTATTTATCATATTACTGTTGTTGGTCTACTTGAACTCTTACGAACGTTTTGAAACCCAGAGATCTAATCAAGATGTGAGAGCGGCGGTGCGGTGGCAGAAATGTAACCGATGCTGAATAAACGTAAAGACAGGACATTGTGGTTGATGTTAAAGAGCTGTAAGGGGAGGTAAAGATTTAAAAATTTGGGCTGTAAGCCTACGGAGCCCCTAAGGAGACAGTGGTGAAAAATATATTTTCTAACAAGTTTACCGTACGGGAAAGAAACCGTAGTTTCGCTGATGTCTCTGGGGAAGTCTGTAGACGTCTGTCAGAGCCGTAGAGCTCCAAACACGGCAGGGTTTGCTCATCGAGGTCATTTTATTATTATTTTATTTTTTCATGCAGATTTCAACTGTCAGATCAGCTGTTCCTGATCGAACGGCACGTTTGTTCTAAAATGTATCAGTTTTATTTTAAAGCTGTGCAACGAGACACAGGACAAGAAGTTGAAATGGGACAGAGAACCACTGCTTCAATGTTTAAACACTGATGTCCTTTAAATGTGTGTGTGTGTATACATATATATGTATATATACATATATACATATATATGTATATATACATATTTAAATGTATACATATATTTATATAAATATGGATATATGTATTTATACATATATATGTATATATATGTACTGTATATATATAT